AGGGTTTAGGGTTTGGGGTTCAGCTTTTTGGGTTGCTAAATGCGAATGTAGGGGGCCTTGGGGCCTCTAGAGACCATTGACTTGTATAATTTAGGGTTTAGGGTTTAGAGGGTTTAGAAGGTTTCCGGTTTAGGGCTTCGGGTGTAGAGGGTTTAGAGGGTTGCGGGTTTCGGGTGTAGGGATATGTAGGGGCCTTAATAATTAGAATCGGGCTTTGGGGTTCCTTTCAAGGGTTCCTTAAAGTAAGGACTACGATAAAGGTTTAGGGTGTAGAGGCCTGAATAAATTGAATAGGGTCTCGGGGTATACTATACTAAACTTCCAATAAGGAACCCCCCAAAAAATAGTATAGGCAATTATGAAAGCCTCTATATTAAGCTCTTGACCCCGCTTGGAGGATCACGGGACTTAGCAGGCAAGGCTATAAGTACTATTTTAGGGTTTTTTGGGTTCAGGGTTATAAATTCTGAGTGTATATAAGTGTAAGTAGAGAAGACTTTTCCCCACACACGCCAAAACCCCAAACCCTAAACCCCAAGCCAAACCCAAGTTCCAGGTCTTGCGTCGCCGGGCTATAGAGCAGCAGCGGCGTCTCGTGATCGTCTTCGCATCTCAGAAACTCCTGGAGGACCCTCATTGGGGTTTAGGGGTTTAGGCGTTTAGGGTCTAGGCGTTTAGGGTTTAGGAGTTTAGGGTTTAGGGGTTTACGGGTTTGGGAGAAGTTTAGGTCTTAGGGCTTTGGGGTTTGGGTTTCGGGGTCAGGGGTTTAGGGTTTTGGGCTTAGGGGTTTTGGGTTTAGGGTTTAGTGATTCGGGTGGCCCCTCGAGGAAACTTGTAGGATTGGTGAGTTCGCGAATTCGCCCGGACATTGTGTTGGGGAGCCTTCTTTGGATTCGTGCTTTCCTGGTCCTTGTCGTGGCTTGCATGCCTGTGCCGGTCCCTTTGAAGGAGACCCCGGCCCCCCCCCTTTGCCTTCGTGACCATTTGTAGAAGGGGATTGGTGAGTTTGGGGTGGGTTCGGGGTGGGTTTGGGTGGGTTTGGGCTGGGTGTGGTGGTTTGGGTGGGTTGTTTGGGCTGGGTTTGGGTGGGTTTGACCATTTTTAGAAGGGAGTTGGGTGTGGGCTGGGCTGGGCTGGGCTGGGTTTGGGCTGGGTTCCCTGGCCCTAAGGTTGACCTGGGCCACTATAGTATTTCTTGATACCTGGACTTTTCTGTGCAGCGATCCCAAACCTAAACCCGAGTAGATTTTGGTACCTGCCCCCTTTGTAGTCATCAATCGCTCCAAGAAACCCTAAGCCCTGGAGGCCGCGTTCACCGCAGCTCAAAACAGTCGCTCTCAGAACAGCAAGCAACGAGGGGGCTGCTTGCCGAGAAGGCCGCAACTGCTAGCTTTGTTTAGATTTTAAGGTTTGCCTCTAGTCTCCATTGTGTTCTTTGGGATAAAGGATCCTTAACATCTAATAAGTTAAACCAACAAAAGGAACTACAACAAAGGCTCCAGGTAGTTTAAACTCTAGGTCTAGGTTTTTTTACAGTTCTACAAGGGCTCGCTAGGACCTTTGCAAGGGAGTCAGGGATTCGCGGGGAGTTAGGGCTTACAGGTTTGGGCATTTAGGGTCATGGGATAGGAATGAGGGTTCATGTTTGGAGTTCAGGTCCAGGGGTTTGGGGGATAGGGTTTAGGGTGTAGGGTTTAGGGGTTTGCGGTTGGGGTTTGTGGGTGTATAGTATCCTTAGCAAGGGTCCACGTGGATTCTTTCGCCCCAAAGTACCCAAATAGGGACTACTTTAAGGCCAACGTACCTACTATCTGGGTACATGGACCCCTAAACCCTAAACCCTACAATATGGGTTAAGGCTTGCGAGGGCAAACAGGCCTTGGTTTTCACCTGAAGCCTTAGACCCGCCCAAGGAACTGAGAAACTGGGAGCCCTTGTGAGGTACTGTCAGGAGGGTCCACGAACTAAGGGTTCTATTTGCGCTTTATGGATAGACATTCCATAGGGTAATTATAGAGTTTTATATGGCTTTGGGTTTGTAAAGCTGTGTTAACGGTCCAACGTCCAAAGTACCCGGCAATCAGGGTTAAGGATAGGAGCTTTGGAAGTCAGTACTTTGGAGAGCGAGCTCTAAACCACTCTAAACCCTAAACGCCGTCAGCCCCCAAGGCCTTAGGCCCCGAGACTGCAACAGGTGGAACAAGCCTGTGCCGGGTGGGGTTGTCGCCTGACAGACAAGGGCCTCGGGCTGCTAAATCAGGCCGGCTCCTGCGCGATGTTGTCGGACTCTGCGGGTTTTGGGGGCCTTTTGGCGGGTTTTTGGCTTACTGTTTCTCTTATATATGCGGTTGTGACAGGGTCTTATGTGTTTTAGGGTTAGTGTAACTCAGGGTTTGCGATTGTCAGGCTTCAGGACTTTAGGATGTCGTGGTTGTTTGGTTTGGTTATTTCGTGTCGGTGATTTTGGGTTTTGGGGTTTTGGGGTTGGGATGCAGGGTTCCGGGATGTGTTTAGGGCCTGGTTCAAGGATTTGTTGTTTAACCTGGCACGCGTCGTGGGTTTAAGTTTCGGGTAGTTACCTCAACGTGGCAAGGGCTAGCATTGTTAGGGGGCCGGGGCTTTGGGTTTAGGGCTTCAGCGAGTTGTGACCCTAAACCATAAAATTTCGAATCCTTAACCCTGAACCTTAAAACTTAAACCCTAGACCAATGTTCGATTTTGAATATTCAAAACTGAACCTTAAACCTTAAACCCTGGACCAATGTTCGATGTTGAATATTCAAAACTGAACCTTAAACCTTAAACCCTGGACCAATGTTCGATGTTGAATATTCAAAACTGAACCTTAAACTTAAAACCCTGGGCCAATCTTCGAGGGCTTGACGCGACTCTGGCCCCGAGTAGATGAAGATCGAGTTCTGGAGGATGCAGAGGCTTCCGGGGGTTCCTGCTTAAGAAGGGCAAAGGAAGTCAGATTATGTTAGGGTTTAGGGTTTAGGGTTTAGGGTTTAGGGTTTAGGGTTTACGATAGATCCTTAGGTTCTAAGTTGCCATCATAAGGAAACACCAAGCTTCTGTGTGCTATAGATCCCTGTAGTTTCAGGTGCCATAATAAGGCAACCAAGATTCTTTTCTACGGATCCCTATGGAATAAGATACCATGATAAGGAAGCCATGTTATTTCCCTAAACCCTAAACCCTACACCATGATAAGGAAGCCATGTTATTTCCATAAACCCTAAACCCTACACCTTAAGACCCTAAACCCTGAACCCTACACCATCAAACCCTAAACCCTAACCCCCCGAAACCCTAAGCCCTAAACCCCCTAAATCCCCCGAAACCCCAAACCCTAAACCGTTTACCGCGGATTCCAATTGTGGTAACTTACGTTCATTCACAAGAGCACGGCTCCGGGGAGCCGGGATCTGACCCCGAAATCTTCAATACTGCCAGGGTTTAGGGGTTTAGGGTTCAGGGGTTTAGGGATTTTAGGGGTTTAGGGGCTTTAGGGGTTTAGGGGTTTAGGGATTTTTGGGGTTTAGGGGCTTTAGGGGTTTAGGGATTTAGGGGTTTAGGGTTTTAGGGTTTAGGCTTCAGGGGTTTAGGGATTTAGGGGGTTTAGGGGCTTTAGGGGTTTAGGGGTTTAGGGTTCAGGGGTTTAGGGATTTAGGGGGTTTAGGGGCTTTAGGGGTTCAGGGTTTAGGCTTTGGGGTTTAATTGGGGTTTAGGCCAGGGCCTAAATGGGGGCCTGACAGATATCTCCGTTGGGTTCCTTGCCATACTTATACTCTACGTAATTTACCCCAATATCCTTGATCACGTCCCATTCTACACTCCCTGAGTGTTCCACTCTCTGACTATTTTAGGCTTCTGAAGCTAATTCAGAGTTTTCAGATTCAGTCCCTAAGCCCAGAAGGTTAGAGCCTTCAGTCCTATGCCCCCATCAGATGCAGCCGCCCTAGGACCGAAGCCCACGCTCCACGGTTTAGGGCTTAGGATAAACTCATCACTCCCAGAGGGTCCATATAGATACTGCCATTATGGACTTAGGTCCCAAAGGACCATCCTTATTATGGTTTGGGGGGGATCTAATTCCACAGTGGTAGTATATACCTTCAGCTACCATGCTCGACTTTTTTGCAGGTTCTTACTTTTAACCCTAATTCGAATCTGTAGGGACCCTACAAAAAGGTAGGTTTCTACCGGAAACCGACGCCCTACATCTATGAGCCCCAGACGTTTTTTGGTTGCAGCAGGCTCGCATCGCGCAGCTTCAGCACTTCCATCGCGAGGCGGCGATGAGCTCTTCAAGCTTCACCGAGCTCTGCGCAAGATTCCCTGAGATTTTTTTCGACTACACCGTGAAGGCCGTGATTTTCTATGGGAATCCGATTACCTGATACACCTTTTCTTTAAAGGGACCCTAACTTGATTTATGGGGTAGGACCAGGGTATACTATGAAACGACCTTGGTTCATTCCGAAGACAGATTACGGCAATGTTGTTATCCTCTTTTCCGGGCATTGGCAGCACGTGGTGACTCTTCACATCCCAACCCGCAGCCAAGGGATCAGGGTCTATGCCTTAAACCCTCAACCCTACACCCTAACCCTATCAGACCGGGACCCTCCCAGCCGATGTCCACACATATTCCGACTTCCTGAATCTAAGCCTGAAGTACCCGGACCGGAAATGCGGAGTAGGATTCGCCTGCTGCCAATCTTTTCTCGCTCGGGAAGTTTCGGAAGGAGGGCTTGATTTCACGAATTTTGCTAAGTGTGTTGTGAGTCCTTGTTAGGGTGTTTTTGTTATGGAGATTCGGGATCTATCGCAAATAGTTTTTCTTATGATAGTAACTTAAATTAAATTCCTGAACAAGAACCCAAGATGATAGGACTAAAGACCTTCTTGTGCTACTTCACATGCGAGGCTTGTGTGCGGCAGTCCTTCCGTCAAGGGCCGGCCCTATTGCTCCGGTTTCGAGCCCATTATGACCATGTTGGCGTCATGTTGGCTTGAGGGTTTGGGGTTTAGGCCTCATGGATTTGATGAAGAAGGCTCCTATATTAGTAGTATTAGGTTTGCTCTCCGTGCACAAGCTATGAAACCTCAAGCTAAAACCTCAAGCCCGAAGACCCTGTTTCAAAGGCCTTGTCGGAAGATGATGACTAACCTCTAAACCCAGAGATTAGTCCCTGTTAAAGAGGCCTTGTGGGAAGATGATGGTCTTCTTGCCGTGCACAAGCCCTGGGGCATGCGAGCATACCTGGCACGGAGGGATGGCGAGAAGTCCCTCGGCTATGGGGAGTGTGCTCACATAGGGTGCAGGGGGTTCATAGAGTTCTGATTCTATGGGGCTGACATGGGTTTTGTTGGGTTCTGAGTCATTTTGCGAGGTGCTTGAAACTAAGGACCTACCTAGCCAAAACAAGGTCGGTGATGGCAGTTTAATGTCCTAGAGTCCGGATCTCAAGTTATGCAAGCTGGAAACTTCCTTGGCTCCGAGAATCTGACGGGCTGCGTAAATAAGTTGTATCGTTTCGGGGCATGAAAATCCTACCATGATTAGCAAGTGAGCCTTGATTGGGTCAGGGTACTCAGCCCCTGCTTGATTTTGGTTCCGAAAGTTTAGCTTTAGTCTTTGGCTTAAATTCGACAGGCAGAGGCAAACCCGAGAAGAACCGCAGGCGCCAAGTTCCCTTTAGGCAGGCCCATCGTCCACTGTCCTACAAAAGCAAATCCCGCAAGCCCCAAGCATAGGCTTGAGGTTTTAGAGCTTAGGGTTGACGTTCGCGGGAGTTGAGAATAATGGTCCAGGGTTTAGACTCCCTAAACCTTTGAGCTCTAAGCTTTAGCGAAGCCGTAGCCTAAACCCGGAACCCTCAAGCCCTCCGTTTCAAGCCTCCCCGGGCCCTTTATAACGTTTACCATACGCATCCAGTAGTTCGTGTGCCTGGGGGCCTAGCTACATAAGTAGTTGCAACATGGTTACAAACACGATATCTATGTATGATTGTGTATGCATATGTGCCTCTTCTGTATGTGTATATATGTATAGTGTACATATGTATACTACATCTTATGCCTGTATATACTTCAACATGGTCTTTGAAGGAAAAGTGGTGGTCTACGCGCGAGGTATCGGGCTTGGCCGGAGGAGCTCACAGCCCACGATCTGCTGCAGGAAATCTGCGAGGGAAGCCGCCCTCGCATGTGCCGCTAGCCCTCAACCCTAAACCCTCGTCTAGCAGTCTAGCATGTAGCTAAGGAGCCCGAATCCCTCCTCTTCCCGAGAAAGGTTGGGGGATTATGTTACAAAGATATCACATAAGACAGCGTAATTGGCGAGGTAAGATTGTATTGTATAATATGTATATATATATATATATATACACATATATGGACTATAAGGCCCAGGAAGCCAAGCACCTTAGCATTCAGGGTAGCTCGGCTTCAAGGGAAGACTGTCCCAGGCAACCGGCTCGACTTTGCTACCAGTGGCCTCATGTTGGTCGGCAAAAACCGTAAGGCCTGGCTTTCCGTGACTGGTGGCCCCTTTAGTGCTTTCCACCTTTGCGCAATGCTCCTGTATGGGGTCTCATGACGTTGCAGAACTGAATAATCAGAACCCGCAACCCTAAACCCTACACCCTAAACCCTAAACCCGAAACCCTACGCCTAAACCAGAATAAGTCTTGTATCAAGCTCATGCTTCGCCGGCCACCCTGCAGAGCACTCCTTCCTACTTAGTTTCAGTGGTCAGGGATCCATTCCTAAAGCCTGAATCCTAGAACCCTATAAACCCTAAACCCTTAGGCCCTAAAGTCTAAACCCTAAACCGTATAAAACAGCAGGGAGCCCAGAGAGCCCCTTCGGAAAACAAAAGCATCGCAGTTTGTAAGGAGCCTTCTGTTTCGTGTGCAGGTTAGTGGTTTAGGGTTTAGGGTTTAGGGTTTAGGGTTTAGGGTTTAGGGTTTAAGGTTAGGGAAGGGAGCCCTAGGCCTGAGCCCCAAGGCCTAAAGCTTTAACATCCTGGGCCGATCGCACTATGTTGGGATCTGGTTTTTGGTCCCAGGGTCAGGGAACCATTGTTTTTCCTGTGTTGAGAAATGGCATCTGTTTTGCGTTTTGGGCTTCCAGTCGATTCAAGCCACGGCTCCGTAGGAAGGTCGGATTTTGACATTATTCAGCTTAGTGCCCGTTTGGAAGATTACATTGCTGGAAGGGTTCAAGGACCTTAGCTGTTTCAAAGAGAATTCCGTACCTAACCACAGAATCTTGTGTTTCGCAGAGAACACTTTTTTTAAGATAGGGCTCGGGCAAATTCGCTTTCATCGTATCAGTATTCCCTTTTAGTCCTTACTAAAAGCTTAGCCTAACCTACCCTAAGAACCTATTCCGACTTTAAGGCCCCACACGTTGGCCATATTCAACCACGACTTTGTGGCTGCACGCCAGGCAGCTGGGAAGGCATCCTGTCTCTTCCAGCAACGCCGAGTCTTGAAGACCTACCTGGCGCTGGTCCCTTGAGAGGGTTTAGGGTTTAGGACTCCGAGCTGGAATCCACGAAAGCTTCCTTACATCGCATGTCGTAAGCCAATGGCGCGCACTTGCTGTTTTCAACAGAGATTGCCACTCCGGAAGATCGAATCCCTACAGCGTACTTAATGCAGAACCAGAGGACTTAGCCAGTTCTTGATTCTAACATTAATATAGGCCTGGTGGGTCGTGATGATTAGATTAGGGCATGATTAGGGGTTTTGGGGCCCATTATATGATAACCCTAGGTTAGATACCTCGATCGGCCGGGGGTATTGGGACTTTAGAGACCTCGGCTTCACGCTGCAAGCGGTTCAGGATGTTTGGGGTTTAGGGATGTGTAGGATTTAGTCATTCCAACTTAGGGAATGCGGCCCCGAGGTACTCGGCCATCCTCCAGCAAGCTGGGAGAAAGGTTCCTTGACTGTGATCTGGCGCGAGGTTCCCGAACCGTGGTCTAGGGGTTTAGGGTTTAGGTGTTTAGGGTTTAGGGTTTAGGGTTTGGGGTTTAGGGTTTAGCCTGAAACTCGGAGATCTTGACTGCCAGACCGAAAAGGGCTCTCAAACAGAAGCTTGAAGTTCGATAGCCTAAACTCAGCATTACGGTACTACCAAAGGACGACCCCAGAAGTGCAGGGCATTATTCGAAGCAAGACAAGTATCTCCATAAATCCACTTGGTTGGGTGTGGTGCAGGGCTGAGGTCTTCGTTCACTGTTTGAGCTCACGGTTCGGAGGCTATTTTGGAGATGTTGTCTACCTTGTGATTTTACCTGTATGCGCTTCAGGGAAGATCAGACGTCTGTGCTGGGTTCTGCAATGGTAAGGGTTTAGGGTTTAGGGATTGCTTTTCAATCAGTATAGTGAAGATGCCTCTTCTCAACCTGCTGTATGGCATATGTGTGCATTCTGCTACGGTTCTTGCCGACCCAAAGTGCTGCACCCTTCAACACATAGATAGGTCAAGTCTGCACAATCTATATGAGAGTATACACTACCTAAGCGCAAAAAGCTTAAACCCACAACCCAATATCACCGTAACCCAGACCCTTCGCCTAAGCCCCGCAAACTGCTGACCTTTAAAACTCGAAAGCCATGCATCTCAACCAGACCGGAGGTGTTGTGCTGAACTACCGCATTACGGACACTGCTGGCTTTGCGAGAAAGGCCGTGAACTCGATGGAGGACACTACCGGCCGCACGACGGAGACTGCAGAGACATCAGCTCCTTTCCAAGATGCGAGTTGTCGTTGAATTTTGGCTCCTATCGTTTTGTGTTTGGCCGCATTTTGCAGGCTTGACTTCTTTGGTACAGAGCTCCAGGTATTGAGCTTGAAGTCCTGCATTCCAGTACATACGTAGGGCCAAAAGTACGCATATTGGGACTACTTTAAGGCGGGTTTCTGAAGACCCGAAATCTACTACCTCCAGCCCCAAGGCCCCATAATCCTAAGCCCCAAACCCCAAATCCACCAAGCCTTGGACCATAATCCCCGCCGGGGCCCTAATTCTTCAACCGTAACCAGGCCTTACGCCCTGTAAATCTGTAGGAGCTTCTGTGTCCAGCGAAGTGCGATCAGCCGTTGTGAATTGCAGAACTCTGTGAACAGTCCATCAGAGTGCGATCGGTTGTGAATTGCAGAACTCCGCGGAGGCTCACGAGTGCTTTGTTTGCGAGAAAAGGCCTGTGCGTCTTCTTAGTGTTTTTAGATTGGTAGCGGAGCCTGCGGGCTCTTCATGTCGGCTGCCGGTGGCAGCGACCCACGTGTCGAACCTGTTCCTGTTGATCCTTGGGCCGAGGCGGCGCAGCGTGTGCATCGACAAGGTGAAGATCTTCATGCCAATGACGGCCCCTTGTCCACGAGAGGACGTCGGGCATGGAGGAGAGGTGATCCTGGGGAGGCTCCAGCTGGAGCGAGAATGGATCCCGCTGCAACAGCCGATGGGAGTCAAGCAGACCATAGTGAGCTTCCTCGTGACGACGATGGCCGTGCTGGCGAAAACTGGGACGACTACGATGGCGGTTGGGACCGCCACAGGTGGCGAGGATTCGGAGACAGTCTTTGGGGCACCCGAGACGATGATTGGTGGCGACGCAGATGGAACTACGAGCCGTGGATCGGGGCATCTATGACTCCGGATTCCCCGACAGGAGAACAAGATCACAACGATGACCCACATGCTACCAGGTGGAATGACCACGGATGGTGGACGGGATGGAACACCGGAAATTGGCCTACACCGTCTACAACGACTACTGGATCCTCCGGAGACCCGGACCCGGGCGCAGACGCCCCACCTACACGGCGTACTACGGGATGGCAACGGACGACTTCGACCTCTACGACAAAGAGGAGTTCGGGTGCAACGTGGGGTGATGGTGACCCTGCCGTGTCGGGCGGAGAAGTGGAGAATCTAAGTGGCATGGATGGTGCCGGCGTCGGCGAACGACGAGGTGGCATCAACGAGAAGGTGACCGTTCCTGTCTTTGCTGCGGAAGACGTCGGGGAGAAGCTGGGCTGCAGTGCAAGATCGTACATCCGTCAGATAGACGCCTGGTCGAAGCTCACTCGTACTCCTCGTGATCGTCAAGCTTTGCTGCTCTACCAGAACCTCCAGGGGCGCGCCTGGATCGAGGCTGAGGAGCTTCAGGTGTCTGAGCTTGCTTGCGAAAACGGCATCGAGCACTTCAAAAGCTGGGTCATGGAGCGCTACCAGGAAGTTGAAATAGGCAAGATCGGCGAGGCCCTCAATGGCTTCTTCAAGAAACTACGACGAGGCCCTCAGCAATCGATCCGCGAGTTCAACGGCCTTTTCGACAGGTCATATGCCAGGCTGTTGGAGGTAGATTGCAAGCTACCGGAGACGGCTCGAGCATGGGCCTACCTACAGGCATTGGGACTCACTCAGGCCGAGGAGCTGTCGATCCTGGGAAGCGTTTCCAACGAGTACGTCACGACAAAACTACAGCGTGCTGCAGTTCTACACGAGAAGAGTCTCAAGAAGGCCTGGGACCGAGACCGCGGGCGACTTTGGGACAAAGGAGCGAAACCCAACACCGTCCACAACACGGACCGCATCAGTGAAGATGGCGCGGAGAACGACTCCCCGGACGAGTTCCCCTTCGAGAACGGCGACACGGAGGCGGGGGAGGTGTTCGAGGCGTACATGACCGCGAAGATGCAGTACAAGGACGTGCTGAAGGCGAGGGGCCTGTACCAGGAAGCACTGCGCAAGGCCACGGAGGACAAGATTGCTTTAGCAAAGTCTAAGTCCTACTGCAGTGTTTGCAAGCAAAAGGGGCACTGGCACAGAGACCCACAGTGTCCTGCCAATGCGGCCAAGGGGCGCGAGAATCCCAAGGAGAATGTGCAGACCGCCCACGCGATCTTCGAGACCAGTCAGACGATCGGAGACAGGCTCCTGGCCATCACGGACTGTGCATGCACGAAATCGGTGATGGGAACTTCGTGGCTGCAGAGGTTCGTCGACTATATGAAGCAGAGCGGTGTCGATGTGCCACTGCTAAAGGAGCAGGACAGTTTCCGCTTTGGGGCTTCTCGAGTATATCATGCTACATACGCCGTTGTTGTCCCGGTGAAACTCGGGGACAAGTGGGTGTTGATCCGAGCCGCCGTCGTGCATGGCGACCTTCCACTCCTCATCAGTCGCAGCGCTTTGGCGTCCCTTGGCATGATTTACGACATGGACCTCCATGTGGCGGACTTCAGGTCAGTTGGGGTGAAGGAACTTCCTTTGGAGACAACGACGAGTGGTCACCCAGCCCTGAATGTACATCATGGGCCGAATGGCGTTCCTGTTTGTGCACAGCCAAAGGCTTGGGATGCCAGCAAGTGCATCCGAGGAGAGATTCAGATCATCGAGCATCAGTGCGCGTACATGGTAGGTACAGCGGGCCCAGTTGTGAATGTGTCGTACCCACAGGTTTTCTATGAGAAGAAGATCCCTCCCGAAATCAAGAATCTTCTTAGCAGTGATGTTCTTCCCGTAGATGGCTTCATCAGATGGTGGCAAACCACAAAGATCTCATCCGACTTTTGGCTAGAGACCGAGGCCTCATTGATCAGAGTTCACGTGATACCCCGCAAGACCTTTTTCTCTACGGACAATTGGCAAACCTCCCAGTCACTGCTTCGCGATAATCTCCATCGAGTGCTTGGTAGCGTCAGGGCCACACACGCTGTTAGCTGCAAGACACTTCGAGGACTGCCAACAGTTCATGACATGTGGGAAGGAGTTCGTCATCTTGCGAAGCCCTGTCACCAATGCTTGTGGGTCGGCCGAACAGTGTTCAATCGTAGAGAACTTTGTGATCCCAGCTCCTCCTTCCCGATTGCGTCGTGTGATGGCCCAGCGCCCAACATGGCAACTCTCGAGGACCGAGCTGCTGGCCGAGGCGACGGCGATGGGTCTTTCTCCTTTGCCGGGGTGGACCAATGTGGAGCTTCGGAGCGCAATCACCGAGATGAAGCAAGGGGCCAACGGCCATGGACTACCGAAGGGGCTGTCATCCATGCGGTTGGCAGACTTGAAGCTGGAAGCGGACCGCTTGGGACTTCCGTACACCGAGAAGGTCACGAGGGGAGTGCTCATGCGGAACATCCGGGACTACTACGCGACGCCCCCGACGACGGTCATGACCATCGGCAAGCACAAGGGCAACACCTACGAGCAGATCCCCATCTCCTACGGCATGGGCCGACCAGGAGGAGAGGGTCAACGGGGCCAACATGCACCCGGACCTGAAGCGCTACGTGATGTGGTTCAGGAACCAGACGGACAAGGACTTCGAGAAGGAGCCAACGACCCTGGAGAAGATGACCAATCCGGAAAAGTATGCGGTGATCAATCCCGAGGACTTCGTGTCGAGCGCCGGGAGCAGCGACTTGTCATGGGCCGAGGTACAGTCTATGGCAGAAAAGAAGGGGAAGGGGTACGCCAAGGAGGTCGCCAAGGGCCTACAGCTACCCGTTCCGACCGCAAAGGCCATGATGACTACACCGGCGAGTTCGAGTTCCCAGCGTTCGGGGAAGCGAAGAACAGAGACGGACAAAGGGGTCGCCCGGATGGGAATCGAGCCACCTCAGGAAATGAAGGAGGAAATCCAGGCCCTCGAGACCCGCCTCGCTGCCCTGAAGCAACAGATGGGACCGCAGGACCACGACGACGGCGGTCTGTGAGGTTCGTGGACGAGCTTGACTACAAGGAAGTCGAGAACCACAACCAAGGCGTTATCGAGGACGAGCTCTACTACCTCCCCAACTATGAACAACTTGGAAGTGGATTGCACTCGGACAAGGCGGCAACGGACGAGGACGAGATCTACTACAACCGCACCGTCAAGGCACTGGTTAATGATGATGGTGAGAGTGCTGGACCCTATCAGGGACACCCACCGGCAGACCAGATTGAGAGCGAAAACGAGATCTACCACCAGGACGAGGTCACAGACGGGCGTGAGACTTGTCACAGGGATCCAACCGACGCCAACGCAGAGATCCTTGGTGACTCAGACCTAGATTCTGAGGCTGGGGACCCCGACCAGGTGACGATCCTCGCCGATCCCGTCGAGGAGCTTATCAAAGACCGTCTCCTTGCCGAGGATTTCTCACAAGAAACCCTGACCCTCATCCTAGAGACGGTGTTCGGCCCTGAAGGAGAACTTTTCCCCCGAAGATCATCCGCGGCACGCCCAAGCACCTTCAAGGAGAGTGATGATCCAAAGCACCGTCTTTCTTTGGGGTACTACAGCCAAGGCAATTTCCGGGGGATATGCAACCGAACTGCCGACTATGCGTCCCTGGCGATTTACTTGAAGCACTACATCCACCATCGCAGTCCCGAGGCAAGATGGACGTCATTGTGCATTTCCCTTGACCAGAAGGCCGACATACACATTGATCGGAACAATCTGAAGGGGACCTACAACTACGTCACATGTGGAGGCGACTATGTCGGAGGAGGAGTGTGGTGCGAAGCCCCGCTACAGGCCAGGGACGGAAAGGACTTTACCAAGACCTACCTCGAGGACGAGAAAGGGAACGCGATCCCCGGGACGGTGCTGCCTACAAAGGGAGAAGTTGCGGTGCTTCGTGCCGATTTCCGGCACGCTACCGAAACATGGAAGGATGGACACAGGTGGATGGTGGCTTGCTTTACTACGAGGTCCATCGTCGAGAGCACTAAGAATGAGAAGAAGCGACTTCGTCAATGGGGTTTTCCGGTGCCTGATCTGAGACACTTGACCCCCGACCGGAAGATGCTTCGGACCTTCCACGACAACAAGGACAAGGAGTCTGCTGCCCCGAAACTGATGCCTAAGTACAGTACTCGCAAGTCCCTATGGAAGACCGCCATTCGAGCTAGCGCTTTTCTGACGTGGTCTTTAACTTCTTTGTCCACTGCGAGGGCCCATCTCTTTCCCGAAGCATCCACAGGCCCCGCGCTCTTCGAGATCGGAGGGTGGAGTCAGACGCTGGAAGTGGCGAAGGTCGACGGTGTCGACTTTATCGAGCCTCTTGAATGGCGCGATGTTCTCGGAGGAGACGGAAGGCAACGACTACACGAGGCCATTGAGTCTCTGCGTCCTGGCGTGCTATGGTTTCATCCACCAGACGATGGCGTGAACTACTACAACGAAGGACAAGGACTTGCCCATGAGCGACCCCGAGATGAGTTCCACGAAATCCTCAATGAATGTGGCAGAGCACATATTCTGTCACATGGGAGTCTGGTGGTGGATGTCTCCAAGGAATCTGGGCAGCATGAGGAGATCGTCTACCGAAAACTACAAGAGCTCGGGAACGTGACCGAGCATCATTTCGGCGACACCCGCTTCTACAAGGTGCGGAAGGCCGCGTACCACGAGGCAATGGTTTCCACGAGCGCTGATGGTCCAGGCTTTGACATCGAGATCAACGAAGATCATCCAAGGGAGGATGTACCTGACCGACCAGTTCGCGAAGGAGCAAGTGGAATAACCTTTGGAAAAGACGTGAAGAAGGATGTGGCAATCATCCTCAGGCGCCTGCATCAGAACCTCGGCCACCCCTCGAATGCCGACCTGACTAGGCATCTTCGGTTAGCAGGTGCCAGCGAAGAAGTCCTCAAAGGGTCACGGTCCTTGGTTTGTCAAACATGCCAAAGATGCGCTGGGCCGAAGAGCCCGAAGCCGGCCTCCGAACCTAAGTTGCTCGAGCTCAACGACGTGGTGGCTGTGGATATCTTCTTCGCCTTCGACATCTCTGGCAAGAAGCAGAAACTTCTCTCGATGATCGATTGTGCTTCGAGCTACCACGTTGTCGTCAAGGTCCAGAACCAGACCGGCGACACCCTGGAGAAAGTCTTCCTGAAGCATTGGATACAGATCTTTGGGGCCCCGAAGGTGATCTCCCTTGACCTCGAGACCGGGATCCAGGACGCTTTCTCACGACTCAGTGACTGGTTTCGAATCGACCTGCAGACCAGCGCTGGTCAAGCACACTGGCAAGCCGGTTTTGCGGAGAGACATGGAAAGTGGTGGAAAGAGATCTTTAAGAAGATCGTCGAGGAAAAGTCTGTGACGAACGACGAGGTAGAGATTGCCATTGCCGCCACCTCCTCGGCGAAGAACACCTTACGGCGCAAATGCGGATGGGCCCCCTGCCAGATCATGTTCGGGAAGGTTCCGCGCGATGACGAGGACATCGTCGAGCAGGAGATCGACGATGGAGAATGGATAGCAAGAACCCCCGACGACGCGCAGCGGCGCCGAGACGCAATCACTTGGATGGGCCGGGGGGTTGCTA